AAAATTCATATAATGAAATGATCTATTATCGACAAATTTTGAAAATAAAGAAAATTTCTCAGAACATTGTCTTTTAGTGACAAAAACATTCTAATTACAAGTAAAAGTTAAACAAATTAGTGAGCTTCCACTTCAACATTTAAAGACATTTGAGATTATAATGAAAATACAATCAATTCTCTAACACAATAAGCAACAAGTTAGAGTTTGAAACTAAAACTTAAAATAACATAAACATAAAATCATATTTGAATTGTTTACCACCAAAATAACTCCCACCACTAGTCATCATTCTCCATTTAGTCTGATGTACACCTGGTTCAGAAGGACTGACCATTTCAATTGTAATATGCCATACTTGACCAGGAACTAATGCAGGCATTGAATATCTAAAGCAAATTTATTATGTATTATTTTATTCAATTATAAGTTTATGCAGCTAACCTCTTTAAACACTCCATTTGTGTTGTGGTACCAATCATTTGTAGAACACAATCTCGCGGCCAAGCTTCATCACCATTGTTTTGAATTCTCCACGTTTTAATAAAACTGAAATAGAGAATTACAAAGTTTATTGCATTTGTTTAGTTAATTCAATAAAAAACAGTTGCATTAAATTTTAGAGATTATGAAAAAATCATGTATAACAATAAAGCAAAGATTACACAGAACAATGTTGATTGAAAACAATTTTTATATAAATTTTGTAATTTTGGGCATTGCTTAGAAATTTGATTCATATCATATGTTATACTTAAGCAAAATGTGTAAAATTTTATTTAAATAACATATAAGTAAGTAACATACTTAATTATTAAGATAAAATAAAATTTAAACCAATGCTATAGTAATATCTCAAACAATAACATTTGTATAATCTTAAGATTTAATCTCTAATTTTATGACATTTTACATATTACATAAGAAAAACAATTATATAACATCACAATGTAAATCAAACATAAATATATAGAAATTATGATATCTATTTATGATTCTAACCTTCGTTGTTCTTCCTCATTTGCTATTTTTCTATGCAGGATAAGAATTCACTTAGTTGCAAAGTAATTTTTTTTTCAATAAACTGATCTACATTAAAAAGTCATATTCCTATATTATTTAGTAAGAATCAAGTAGGATACATAAAACTAATTTTCTGTAAAATATACCCAAAATAGGTCGTGACAAATCTATATAAAAACTTATTAAGTTGCCTCAGGATACAAAAGAATTCAAGATTTTCATGAAGTCTATGACTTGATGAAAATGAATGTAAGTGTTTTACCAATTGTGTTTTTTCTCAACATCTCAAAGTGTTCAACTATTATTACACAACTGCTATACACTATAATATTAATCAAAAATAATTTTTCTATATAGATTATACCTCGTATTAGGAGTGATACATTCGCCTTCGCCAACTGTTACATCAGCTAATAATATCATCGATGGTATCTTAGCAGGTGTTTCACAATCCAAATAAGAACCAATAGCTGCTTGCAAGTTCCTATATGAAAGTTAGGGTAACATGTATTTGACTTATAACCCATTACATTATATTCATATATATAAATAAACAACTAAAACAACATCGACCTACCAGTTGCTCATGTCTAGAAAAAATCTTGCTGTAGACTCATTTAAATTATTCCCCAAAATCTTTTGTAATTGGCTGACGAGCTCATCATGATCAGTAGTACCCAGACAGCTGAATTGTTGAAGAAGACTTTGTTCCAAATCATTTGCACTTTGCAGATTTTGATCCAACGGTCCATTGTCAAAATCCATGGTCGAATAAAATTGCCAGATAAAAATAATAAATAAAAAAAAACTCATTCAATTACTAAACCTATTGTTATCAAACATATTTTTTTTGTTGCAATGTAATATTTTGACAACCATCTGTATGACGACAAGTTGACAAAACTGCAATAGTGTTGCCAGAGCTAACATAAACATAGAATTTTTAAAGTATTACCAGATGAAAACGGCAGAATGATATCCATAGATAAAAGAAGAGTAAAATCATAGATAAGGAAATGGATGAGTATAATAATATCATAGATAAAAGAAAAGAATAATAACTTTGATATTACGCTGCCTTTTCTACTTTTAAGCAACTCATGCTTGTTTTAATATGGTGGCCAATAACATAAATATTTTAATTATGACTACATACCTCACTGAATCTATCCAACGAAGCAATTTATTTATTTTATAACTTACTTTCGAATTTATAACAAAATTCACTTTCTTATTCATGCGCTTTCTTCACTTATTACTCTTAAGATTGGTGACACAGAATAGCAAAGTTAAAATTAAATTAAAATCTGAATTACTTTCGATATACAATTTTTTTAAAAAATTTTTAAAGCAAATTTGTCAATACAAGTAGAAAGTTTTTTGAATCATTCAAATCAGATGTTTAGTTCTCCCAAAAAATGCCATTTTTTGCACATGCAGCTCTGTAACTTCGAAATGGTTGGACCAGCCTTTGCCAAAAACTAAACACTTCTCCCAATCATTCCAAATTGAATGTTTTTTGGATGATTCAAATCGGATACTCCGTTCTCTCAAAACCTCGATTTTTATTTTCTGCATTCTTTGCTCTATATCTCCGTAACGGCTGAACCTGCCTTTGCCAAAAATTAATCAGCACATCTCCCTATCAATAGGAATCAAATGTTTTTTTGACCATTCAAATCGGTTGATCCGTGCGCGCGAAAACGTAAACGAAAAAATGCAGACACACAAAACACACACACACACATCCATTTTTTTGAGATATGCCAAAATGTTCATAAACCTTCAAAACGTGAAGATATGCAAAAAATTTCATTTTCGATTTTCGACCCATTATGTGAAAACTAAATGTAAACTAGTGGTGTATGGCATCGTGCCTTAAGGGGTTAGGGGTACTTGGAGTTACGAAAAAATGAGAATTTTCAGTATTGTTTTTTTGTTATTAGACTTTTTTTTCACAAAAATTTTAATACGGCATCATTATACAATGTTTTGACTTGAAGTAACAAAAATTTCAGAAAAAAAAATTAATATTCCCAAAGTTATAGCTGTTTTTGTTGACCATGTTTAAAAAAACGGTCCTGGCGGTGACCATCATAACTCCTTAGAGATTCATCTAAAATCAATCAAATAAAAAAAAAATAGTTTTATAAATAGATAATCCTGGGCCTGATCGAAGGTTTTCTTTTTTTGCAAAAATTAACAAAATGGCAGCATCATAAATAAAATTTCTAGATTTTTGGGTAAAAAATCAACAGTCAATTTGTCTTAAAAAATTGAAATTTTAGAAAAAATAAAAATCCTTCGATCAGGCCCGAGTTTATTTTGTATTCTAAAAACTGTATAAATTTCATTAAAATTTACTAAGCGGTTTTTTGAGTTACAGTGGTCACCGGTTCAAAAAACATAGTTTTGAGAAAAACGCGTTTAAAGTTTCACATTGGATTTACGTACAGAAATTCAAATTATTGAATTACTTAAACCGAGTCATCTATTTCTGGGTCATATAATAGTTCATCAGTCATTGTGCAAGTTTCCAAAATTTTCATTTGCTGATGCCTACGAAGCATTCTTGCCACTTTCACACGTGCAGCATCCCATTTTGCAGCATACCAATGGGAATTATATCCACAATTAGGTCCTAGGGCATTCATAATCAATAATATTGATTATGTATATGTATTCAGCAATTTCTACGATAGTAGAACTAGTATTCACGGTTTTTAGGCATGATTTTTACACTAGTTGGTTGAAGCTTTTAATTTTTTCTGATTATGGATTCAATCTTGAACTACACATCTTGAAGGTAAATTATCATTGCTGAGATCGTCGTAAATCAGTTTAAAAGCTTTTAAAACATCAGGAGGTGAGGGAGAATAATCTTGAGTATAAGTATCGAGCTCTCCACTTGCGTCAACGCGCTGGTAAGAGTCCAATAACTCAAAAATTTATCATCGGATCAACTTGAAATTTTCAGAGAATATTTTCAAGATATTACACTTAATGAAAATGCAAAAAACTAAAAATCGATTTTTCAAAAATTCCAAGTACCCCTAACCCCTTAAGGCAAATTGCTTTTTAAATACTAGAAAAAAAAAAAAATAAATTTAATCGACGAAAGGTCACATCGGCTCACATACACACATACAAGCAAACATACTTTTCTAAATTTGGTCTCAAACGATGAAGAATGTGTTATAATGCCATGACAACATAATACAAGCAAGTCGGATTTTTTCATAAAAACACTATTTTGAGAAGCAAAAAATTTAATTTTGATATTTTTCTATCAAAATATATATATATATATATATATATATATATATATATATATATATATATATTTTGAAGGCGGCCAAATATACTTGCACGCGGGTACACTTTTGATAATTTGCATATATGTAATTTAAGAAAATAAGAGCTCCAAACATATTTCTTTCTATTTTTATATAAAAGTATCTATTATATAATATATATTATATATATTATAATATTATAATTTAACCCTTGTAGCTGTAGACTGTATTAATCACTGATTTGTTGATATAATTTATGTATTTGTTGCAGTTCTTGTTACAATCACTGACGATTTGTCACTAAGTTATAATTAAAGAAAATTATTGATTATTTATTACATATGTTGTTAAGCGGACTTTAATTTTAGAAGCGAGAAAAATAAGTCTCATCAAACTCTCCGCTACCCCCTCTGCACAATGCCATGAAGATTGCTGCTTCTTGGCAATATAATAAAATGAAAATACGTCCGAATAATATAGCATCATATTCTGCTTTTCTAATATTTCTTTAATAATTCTATTAATAATATTGAAACGCCTCTTTGATGGTAGTCCGGAGTATTTTCTAATGTTCCTCTTGGATACAAACATCTCACAAAAAGCAATAAAATTTTTGATATTATTTATTATAAACGTATAAGTAGCATTTTATAACAGACATGATATAAAATATACAAATATTTATTCTAAACACTCTTTATCAGCATCATCTTTAGATAAATACATCGGTTTCATTAAGTTCTTGAATTTATCAAATTCGCACAATTCATCGCAGCCTCTGAGTTTTAAAATATTTTTATCCGAAATTGGTTGACTTGGATTATTACTATAGTGTAGCTAAAATTAAATAAATTTGTATGTAATTGACCATTTATACCATACGTTGGATTGTGTTAACCCCAGGATTCAAAAACCTTTTTGTCAACAACATTCACTAATATTTTGTTTATCAATTATTCATAGACCAATTAATGAATATAGATGCATTAACTTTAATTTTTGTTATTTTAATAAATAATTGAAAAAATCTATTAGAGTGCCTATTCGGATAATAAAGTACTTCCATGATTGAAAATATCATCTTCGATGTATTTTTTTCAAAATTTCTAACAAAATTCACCTTGTTTTGTATATAGTTAATTCTTCCATGATTATAGTTAGTATATAGTTAATTATTCCATGAGTATATTATAACGCTATACATTTTTGATATAGAAAATTTAAGAAAAATATTTGTTCACGCGTGAGCAGCATAATTAATATTCAATCGCGATTAGTTATAATATAACAGTTAATGAGTCAATTTGGATCCATTATTTTTAAATAAATATCGTATGTTTAAATATTGATTAGTTAATTTTAGCATTAGTATGTAAATATCCGTGAAGAATCTTGCGATAAACATTGATGAACTGGATTTAATTAATATATTTTCATTAATTATCACAATTAATATATGATGAAATATGACTTAATTCCCATCAATCTATAATGAATGACTTACCCTGATATGATATGTCTGTTCTTCGACTTTCTGGTAAACTTCTGTAATAAACATTGAACCAGCTTCTGGATGCGGAAGTAAATTTTCACTGTGATATCCTTCATCACCGCCCATTGCTGACATAATAGATTTCAGAAATGGTGGTGTTGTTCCAAACAATACCATCTTTTTACCATCAGGAGTTTCGCCCTTCGTTCTCAAATGATCAACATCATCCAGTAAATGAGATACATACCTACCTGTTAATAAGAAATGAAAGATATAACTATATTAATAAAATTATAATTATATATGCCCAAAAATATATGCACATTAGTGATTTGTCCATTGATTTCCTATTTCAATCAGACATAAATATTTCTGGTTATTGCATTTCTAATTTTTAAAGACTTGTAGATTATTACCTGCCGAAAGCCTTTTCAAAGATGTAATTGAGAATGCAGTTTCATAAACTTTTCTTGACATAGTTTTAATAACTTCTCCTTCACCTTTGCATGTTGGTAGCGCACCATTTTGGTCATTATACTTAAAAATATGCATTAATATTAATTATTTTATTAAAATTTATAATATTATTATAAACATGCATGCATATATATTTAAATACTTATATTAATAGTTATGTATGCAATGTGATTATTTTAGTATAAATTATTTCTAGACTATGTTCTGTAGATAATATGCCACCATATCAACAACTTTATTATAACCATGGATGAAATTATTTAAACTAGGTGTACTTGGCATATTGCATTGAGGCAAGTTTCAAAAACTTCTATGATTTTCATAATTAAACCACTTTTTGTAGTCCTATAATATTTAAGGATATTTGTTTAGGGTTTAATCAAAATCTTCAAGATTTTTTTTTCAACATTTATGGGCCGATTCTGCCGCATAACAAATCAATGTTATGGCAAGGCCATGTTACGTTACAACTTTTATAGATAATGCTACTGAATCATACTGAATACTGTCAAAATGTGATGTATTTGCTATTCATTCAGGCGTTTTACACATAAACTGCAACATCACTCGTATGTTATGAAGCTGTGTCAGAAAGACCCTGCTATCTAAGATCGTTTTTTTGACATTTGTGCGGTTTCTAGATTTGGGTTTTTCTATCTGACAACCTGAGAAAGACGCTTGACTGCACAGCAACCACATGGCTTTTGTCAATATTTAGAACAAATTTGTATGAAAAGTTCTTCATAACATAGCCTTGGCAGGAAGAAACCAACCAACCAATATTTATAGAAAACAAATCAACACGATTTCCAGCTGATGATAGATATTTTTTGACCAGCATATACATTTTTAAAATTGATGCCTGAGTTTTGGCGAGAACATTGAACGAAAATTTTGGATTTATCTGCTCAGAAGAAATGACTCCGCCGATCAACGTGAAAAACTAAGCTACTTAAGTAGTCATTTTCTGTAAAGAGTCATTTCTTTTGAGCAGATAAATATAAATCCAATTGAGAACTGTCAAGTTTCATAGAAAGGACTTTAATTTTTTTGAGAGGTCAAAAAAGGTAAAAATTTAGCTCACAAACAAGCATACTTTTTTTACTTTGATTTTTAATTTAACTTTTAATGATTCAAAATGACTTGGCGAAAACAAACTCCTTTTGGAAAGTTAAAAATATGCGAAATTATTAGATATGTATAACTGCCTGAGGAAGTATATAGATTAAAACCGGTAAACTATAGTTATATTATATAAGTTAAAGAACATTATTATATTAGAAGTTAAAGAACATGCATTATTATCATTGGGCATGGTTATCTCGTTTTCTAAAAACTATTACCAATTCAAAAATTACTTTATAAAAAAACGTGTTTACGCAATCTAAAATGCTAACGTATATTTGCAAGTAACAAATCTTGTAATTAGTTTTACTCACCTTTGACAAATCATGGAGAAAACCCAGTTTTTCTGGATCATCCTTAAACTGTGGGAAGCGATTCATCACATTCTTAAGATGATCTCTGAATTCGGACATAATGTTATCATGAGTTCCGAACAGATTTTTGAACTTTTTGTAAAATGCCGGACATGCATCAGGATTATGCACACGTGTTATCTGTAAAATAATAAATAGGAATAAATAACACACACATATATATATATATATATATATATATATACATATATTATATTTTAATGATGCCTATAAATATTTTAAAATATGTTTTTTCTCATATAATTTACTTACGTCATTTATCAATGAGTGTTTAACTGGTGGAAGTAAATCTTCGCTTGGAGCATGTATTCTCAGATCAGTGCAAAAAGGCTGAAATAATTATTATTCGTCATTTTTTAATTATTTTATTCATTGATGACAATAATACATACCTTGCCTTTTATAGCGTTTAAAGCAGACAACACATGACTTTGCGTAACATTGAAATTATGTGGATTTCTCAACTCAATCAAATGAGGATGAAGAGGTTGTTCATAACTCTTCAAAAATGGTGCATATCTTTGTTGCAAAAGATTTCCATTTTCATGTGCCAATTTCATATCATTCTCCTGGAATATTAGAAAAAAATTAATAAAACACTTGAAGATAATAATAAAAATAAAATTAGATTGGATATATACTATTTTTATATTTTGCCCTACAAAAGATTCTTACCAAATGCATTGGTCCAATTACTCCTGCTGGATGGAAACGTATAGTAATATTTGGTATGTGCCATTGTTGAGGGTTGCTTAATGTGTTAGGTCCACCACCCAAAGCCTTGGATAATTTGTTTGATAATTATTATATTCACAATGTCAAATGTCTTTTATATAAAATACGATATGTAACCGATTACAATGAAAGCAGTAAAATTAATTATTTTCCACAGAAAGTATATTAAGATTATTGTCACTCACATTAACCAGCAAGCAACAAATATTTTATAAATATATGAAAATACAGAGTATGAATATACTAGATTATATTACATTCTTATGTGATATTAACTCTGTGGGGACGGCTGTCCACCTGAGTAGACAAACATACTCTGTGGGGCACAGGATATTTTTATAAACAATGACTCAGTCAAACTGACTAGGAGGAAGGCGGCGAACAACATTTTATTGTAAAACATGCCAAAATTCAACAGCAGGTACAGTAGATTGTTTTGAAATCGGTGCCGTAAGTGTTAAGTACAAAATCCAATCCGATCCAAAACATCGATAGTGATCCTTGTTAAATTTTAAAACATTTGGGTTTTTTAATATAGAAAATTTCAAAAACTATGAAAAAAAATAGAGATTTTGAAATAGCTAAACGAATTTGCTACATTTTCTGTTTTAAATTTAAAAAAAAATGTAAATGATAAAATTATATTTGTAGCTTTGAATTTCAATCAGCTTTTCCTACAAACTTAATTTCTGCCTCTGGAATAGCTTTAAAGCTTTTGAAAAAAATATGATGCTTGCTTGTTTTATAAAAAATATGATTCAACTATTATTGAAGTTAAGTGTTAATTACAAAGAAATTGATTAACCAATTTTTGCAAATCATTAATTAATGCAAATGTGAATTGATAATATGATGTTTTTTCTTGAGTACGTTTCGAAAATGTGTAAACTTTTTAAGATATATTTATTTTCAATTATTATTAAAAAACAATCAGGCATATCAATGCAAAAGAATTTGTTTTTTGCATAATTTTAGAGGTGGGCTCTAAATCGTTTATATCATTCTGTATAAATCTCAACATATGATATTCAAAATGGCAAATAATTTTTTTTTTATTATTTCGGCAATATTACTATGATATTGTAATTGAATCCTATTGATTTTTTTTTTCAAATACATTTTATAAAACAAATATACATATTATTAAATCGTTATAAAAGTTATATTGTATTTGAATCTCATGAATTGTAGTCATTTCGCTATATTCCAAATCTGATATTTAATAATTGTAAATACTCACAACATGAATAAGTTTAAGTTGGTGTCCAGGAGGTCCATTAAAACTTCCCAAAGGAATTCTAATTAAGGTGTAACTTTTAGCCACCGATGCCAGGGCGCATAAAAACACAAATTGTAACATATTTATATTTTGTATATTCGACTCATTAGTTAGACTATTTTATTGATATTGCATTCGAGAATTACGTATGAAGCAAATTTATAGATTTTGCATTTCGAAATTAATACATCAATAACCATTGTCAATAAGCTACAATTACGCGATGATCACATAATTATAATTGAAAATATTACGAAATAACTTATATATGCGCAAATTGATGTTTTCTGAAATAAGTAAATAATTGGAATACAAAATTGAAATACATGCACAATGTGTATTGCAAATATAAATAGATAACTTGTTCAAGACCAATATCCTCACTACTGCATAAAATTTGAGTATTGCTTTTGTGCCACTGCCAATTTAGGATATTTAAAGATACTAATAATAAAATTTATATATAAATATATAGGCATTTTTCAAATAATCATAACAAGAAATAATATATACCAATAAGTAGTTAAAACATACTGCCATTTAAAATTTTTATTTTGTATTTTTAAAACGTAATTCTAAATCATTAATGTATATCAATAAATACATTTTTTTGTTAATTTGTTTTATTTTTATATCAATATATAGAAGAGATGTAATATATATATATATATATATAGGGTGGTCCTTAAAATGGTCATTTTTGAATTTTCTTGCTTCCAGGGGCTCAGATGATTCCAAATTGATAAAAAACAATTCTCTGAAAGTTTTAGCTCCTAATATTAACGTTTAGATAGAGCGCAATTCAATCAAACTTCGTATGGAAAGAGCATGGAAAAAATTTTGAAAATTAAAAAAAATGGGGCAAGGAAATCCCCTGGGGGCAAGAAAATTCGAAAATGACCATTATAAGGACCACCCTTATATATATATATATATATATATATATATATGTGTGTGTATGTATGTATAATTGTATATATATGAACATATACATATTATATATGTGTGTGCGTTTTTAAAAGTTCGCGAACGTCCACAATCATATTGTGAAAAAAAAAAATTAAAATTTTGTAATTTAATTAATTTCGAAACACATCTGCTATAAATAAATATAACAATTTTCACAATGTATTTTTAATAAATACAATGTTTATTATAAACAGCAATTTTTCAAATAAAATATTAAATTTAATTATCATGCTAATATATTGCTATCATCATGTGTTCAATAAAGGTGAATTACCTGAACAGAATTTAATTGGTATGAGATAAGATGTTAATTCGAGCTAATTTAAATAAATCACGGATTTAAATCATTCGGACTACCTAATTCAATATTTCAGGCCTAGGGAGTATCCTTGAACCCTGACGCATCGCGATGTTATCCTATTGACGATAGGTAATAAATCTTCTATAAAGCAGGCATGGAAAACTACTTATGACAATGATTTGAACACTACTAGTTAGAATAATATTAAAAAATTTAAGTAATAATTTTCTACACCACATGTCATTAGAATTCGTCACAAAAGTAGATCTTGTAATAATTGTTGCCAATACAAAGTTCAATCAAAAGATACCTCGACCGATCCCACAATGAAAAATGAAAATACAATGATAAACAATAAAGATAAGGACACAAACACTTTTTGGCCAAAGTTTCACAAATTCATGATGTGGCATTTTGCCTCAGGACCAGTTTCAAAAACTTCTTGATATATTGCAATATATCAAGAAGTTTTTGCAACTTGAAGTTTAAAAAGTTGAAGTTGAACAGTGCAAGAATAATGATTCTTATAAGAAATCTCATAAAAATAGAGATCTAACTACTTTTCAAACTGTAACGAGATAATTTCAATATTATAACCCGACCCGTTGTTCCAAAGTTTCAATAAAACTATATAAAAAAATCCTAACTTTAAATTTTGCACCATATAAGAGTTCATATAAAAATTATATGAACTCTTATATTGTGCAAAATTTCCATAAAACAATTAAAAAAATTCCTAACTTTGAATAATGAATTTTTATATAAACCCACATTACGCAAAGTTTAAATAAAATAATCAAAGAAATCTTAACTTCAATAAATCGTTTGCAAACTCTTACACCATGAAAAGTTTCAATAAAATAATAAAAAAGCAACATTTGGTTCCTTGAGTATTATTATTACAATAAAAATTATGAATAATTAAATTTTTAAAAAATTGGCGCAAATTCTAAATCTTTTTATTATATTTTACTATTTTCTTTTCACCACATAAGTATTCAGTATTGCTATAAAAATTGTAATAAATTAAAATTAATAAGTGCAATGCTCTTATTTATTAAAGAAAAGGAAAGAATTGGTAACATCCCTGTTATAAAAATGATATTTTTACTGTAAATTATAATGATTAATAATTTAATTAAAAATTATCTAAGCAAATTTAAAAATGTTTCTCATGATGCAAATATAACATTATCATAATTTGAGTAACTGAAATTGTTTACAAATGTAAAAAGAATTTCGCAAATTTCATAAAAATAACTAATTATCTTCCCGCAAAAACCGAAAATGAAATTTTTTCGATATCTTTACGTTTCAAGACCTTCTGAATATTTTGGCATACATTAGAAAGAATGGATGTGTGTGTCTATGCGTGTGAGGATACAATTTTTTGTCGACGATTTCAAGAACACAGGTCAACTGATTTGAATGATTCAAAAAACATTAGATTTAAATTGATAAGGAGACGTGCAAATTAGTTTTTGCCCAAGACAGGACCAGTCGGTTCGAATATACGGGACAAAAAGTGCTAAAAATGGTAAATCAATTTTTGAGAGAACGGAGCGTTCTAAATCGAAAAACATTATACTTGTATTGACAAAATGAAGAACTGATCAAATGAGAAGGCGGGTACAGGGGTTACGGAGATCCAATTAAAAAGTAACTAGCTGTAAGTGGAATTCTGTCTTGAGGCAATTATGGCATCGTAAATTGCTCAAGGCAAATTGCTGGAACTTCCCGTACCGTAACGAAATGTTCGAGGAATACTGAATGTTTTCAAATAGATTATTGGAAAATGGAAAAATTTTTTTTTACCAAAATCAATTATTTTGTTAAGACAAGCAGAAAGTTCTTTGAATCATTTAAATCGGACGCTTAGTTCTCTCAAAAACTGCCATTTTTTACATATTTAGCTCCGTATCTTCGAAATGGCTGCGCCTGCCTTTGCCAAAAACTAGTAAGCACTTCTCCCAATCATTACTAATTGAATGTTTTTTAGATCATTCAAATCGGATACTCCGTTCTCTCAAAAATTCGATTTCTATTTTCTGCACTCTTTGCTCCGTATCTCCAAAACGGCTGGACCTGCCTTTGCCAAAAACTAATCAGCTCTTTTCCCTATCAATAGGAATCGAATGTTTTTTGAACCATTTAAATCGGTTGATCCGTGCGCCCTAAAACGTGACTGGAAATTTGTATCCATACATACATACACACACACACATACACACACACACACAACACACGCACACATCCATTTTTTTCTGAGGTATGCCAAAACGTTCAGAAACCTTCAAAACGTCGAGAAATGTTAAAATTTTCAATTCCGATTTTCGGCCCATTACAATAACTTACCCTACGGGAAGTTAAAAAAAAATTAGCGATCAAAAATATCATTAGAGATAAGCACATCAAATTGTTAGAGAATTTATAGAGATTTTAATAATAAGTACACATTTTGTTAATATTTCTGTGGGTTCCGTACCAAGATTTATAATGCGTAAACGTTAAACAGTAACACGGCGCTTATGCGATTCGAATCTTCGTCTCTAAAACAGCTGCGCAGCGCTATTGTTTTGAAAAAAGTTTTCAAAAAAAAAAAAAATGCAAAAAAATCAATTTTTTCAAAAATTTCAATTTTTTAAAATAATTATATAATTAAACAAATTACATAATTCTCAAAAATCAAACTTTTTTAAAGTTTTCAAAACATTTCCAAGCTTTGAAAACTTTTCAATTACGGTACAGGAAGTTCAAGCAATTTGCCTTAAGGCACTATTAGTTTCTTAAATTATTAATTTGTCTAGCAGTGCTCCTCCACGTGAAGAGTTTCGAAGGGATGCCGTGTCATTAGCATGTTTGAATGTTGTGTAGTGTGTGTGGGGGGTCAAATCAATTACTCGACTTATATTATGAATAATATTGCATAACACGCTAGGGATAGTTCTTATGCTAAGGCGTTGATTAAAAATCAGCTATAAACATCGAGAATACTGGAATGTTCGTGCGAAATATACCTGAGTGATGATCTGAATGATATGTGATTTATCGGAGAGGTGCGATACCATTTACAGAACATAATACATAAAATATTTTTTAACTTCCCGGAGAAGAAGTTTCTTACATTTATAGAATTTCGCTAGTAAATCCAACTTGCTAATTATACGTTTTCTCGAATTTTCAAGCCACTATGAATCGTTTAACACCAAATTGGAAAAAAGTTGTGTATGTTTATATAAGATCCATTTTTTATTTGACTTAAATCTGCAGTCTGATATTTCACAAACAAATAAGCAAAGAGTGCTTACAAATATATATATATATATATATATATATATATATATATATATATATGCAGGGCCGGTCCTGCCTTGCATGCGATGCATGCAAAAAATGCGGCCGCACGCCTTAGGGGACGCCAAAACGAGTTTCGGAAATTAAATTTATAATATATTATTTATATTTTTTATAATTTATATAAAATCTAGAATACTTAATAAATTATAACAAACAATCTAACTTAACTAGGGATACGGAGACACAAAAAGCATATTTATTTTGCAATGTGATATCAGTAGAAACAATTAACCCATTAATAAATCTGCAAATTAGTAAATAACAGCTCTGTTCATTGCTTAATCTACTTATTCAATTTTTTCTTTGTTTGACGTTACCGTGGAATCGAAAAAGAAATTAACCAGTGTTCAATCCCGTAAGCGCAAATCTGCGAAAGATTAAATTAATTATTGGGTATTATTGACGAAAAATTGCGAGCCGATTTAGTTGAAACGGAACTTTTTAAAAATATAAACAAATTATATTCTGGAAAATGAAGAATGGAGAGTCTGTGCTTAAAAAATGGCATGTTTATTCCGAGAAATTGAATTGTAACTTTTGTTTTTGTTGAAAATGTTTCTCATCTGATGAACTTTGAATGTTGAAGACATGCGTGGTTAGAGTTATGGAAATGGAACAAATATGAAAAATGGAAGCAAAATTTACTTTGGAACGAAAATCTTAAGGCTTTTTTTATACCTAGTGCTAGTGGTGTATATACTCTAAATTTAATAGTTATTATTATTAACTATGCAGAAATAATTCATATCAAATGTAATTCGATTTTTTTTCAATATAGTTCAAGAAATTACACACTTCTTTGCATTTTTTACTGATTTTTTTACAATACTTCTAAAATACGTTAACAATTAATTTTAATTGATCACAAATCACAATCACAATTGAAACAATCTTATGCTCTGAATATGACGGAAAAGCAATGATGATTACAATTCGGGTCTTACGATATCAATAAGGAGAAGTTTACGACGCAAATTTAGATATAAAATTAAAATTAAATTAAATTAAACTAAAAAAATTCAACATGAAATACGAGTGTTATGATTGAAAATGAAAAGCTTGTTTTTTAGCTCTCTTGGCATGATTTGCTCAATAGAAAAAATCGCATAATAAATAAGTACAATGTTTCAAAACCCTAATATTAATATTGCACGAAAATTTAAAAATATTTGATTATAATCAACCCGCGAATCGCCTCGATTTTCACAAAAAATTCAAATCAATGTATTTTATACGCTTATAGATTATATCTAATTTTTTGTGTACTAAATCCAGAATAATCAAAAATTAATTTTAAAATAATTTGTTTTTAAAAAATATTTATATAATTTTAATGATGAACTGTTAAGTGTTAAGTTAAAATTAATAGGAGGGGGGGGGAGGCGCTAGAAAAAAAGTTGCATCCGGGCGCTAAGTACCCCAGGACCGGCCCTGTATATATGAAAAAAAAAATTTTTATTTTATTTTATTACTTCAACTTTTCTTTGAAACCACTGCACCGTTTTGATTATTTGCTCATCAGGCAATCAATGACTGCACCTGAGGTGATTAGTTTTGCGAGACGATTGGCCGAACTATTTCTTGAGAATAAAAATTTTTGTTCATGCTTTCCAAATCAAATGTTTCTTCACAATTAAATGTTAGAATTTCATTTTTAATTTTTTTACGTTTTTTATAAACTTAACACGTAACTATAAAGTTCGTGGTATAAAAGAAACATACCAAAATATTATAATATTATAAAAAGTTGTTGAAAAAAAATTAAAATAATGAAATGAAAGTTCCGAATTATGAAGCATATGTTGGCGCACTTTATTCAAAACAATTGATAATATTATATTAATTAACTATTATAAATAATAATTAATATTACATGTTCGTTCTAAAGATTTCAGTTGAAATTATTATCGACTAGTTTTTAATAAAAGCGAAAGTAATTCCTTTTCCTCCTACTATTTTACTAATTTGTCCTTCTACTGAGTAGCACGAACTCTATGCTACTTTTTTGTTAACAGTTGAAAATTTTATCTAAATAACTAAATCTCAATACTTAATAAGTCGACTATTTACACCTATCGAGAAGTCCATGCAACTCGCCTTGGTATTTTAAAAAAAAAATTCATTCAACTTTTAACTTTTTAATCCAGAATTTTGATGAAAAAATGAAAATTCGCAGTGATAGAGCTTATGGTCAAAGTAAACATCCTCAAAATATAAAGACTCACAGAAGTGATGATAAAAATTATTTATAATATGGAAAACACTATTTTTAATATTACTTGGATAAATTTTATTAAAATCATTAATTATGAATTATCAGTAAATATTATTTTTATAACAGATGTTTTTAGTTCTTATGTCTGAAATTGTCTTCTCTGATAAATAAGTGCTTGGAAGAACTTATTAATTTTAATTTATCACAATATAATGAAAAGATTTAATATTAAAATGTTTACATCAGATTTTTTAAAAATCTAAATATAAATATGAGCAGTAGTTTATACAAAATTATAAATAAGTTTATATTTATTTCTGATACTTCAACAGAAATTTTATATAATAATCTTAATATGAATGCTGTAGTATCAAATATTCACAAAATTGATACAACAATAAAATATATATATTTTGAAAAATATAATTTACAATTTTCTCACGAACTATTTTGGTCTTCACTAAATTCTTTCCAAAACAAAATAAATTTATTATTCATGCCTGATATTGCTTCATGCAGCGCTGATAATCCATCCATGTTTCTTTGCCTCTCCTTTTTGTAGAAGTCGAGTTTTTCTTTCCTTAATTTCATACAATTTTCTTTTAATTCTATCAATTGCATTTTAGATTCATTCATTTTACTGTAAGCTCATTTAGCATAATTTTCTGAGCATTTACTGTATAACATCTATTTTCAACTCTTTACTAGTACTTTCTCAGTTCTTTTTGGCTAAATTCCAACCGTGATATATATATTTCGGAAATACTTTCTTCTAAGGCATTTATGTTTTGCATCACTGACTGATCTTCCAGCAAAAGTGTTCTGGTTTCTTGTTTCATATTTTCAATAAAGTCTTTTCTTTGCTGCTTTTTGTTCAAATGATCTTTGTATGAGTCATCACTTTTTGATAATTCTTCTTGTAGTGCTTCAGAACATGTTTGCAAAATACTAATTTTTCTAATAAAGTTTGTTTAAGTTTTGTCAGATCATCAGTAACTTCAAGTGTTATTTGCAGAGATTCCTTATTAAAATCTAGATTAAGAAGCGTTAGATGCTCATATAACTTGCACATAAAAGATTTGTATGTAACCAAAACTTTATTTAACTCTGAATCCAATTGTAATAATTTTAAATCATATTCATAATTGTGTTCAGTATGTTTTTGCCGAAGTTCTTTATTATTATTTAGTTTTTCTATGTTTGCTACTATTTGGGATTTAATTACAGATTTTTGAAGCTTGTTCATTGGTTGATCACGTACTTGTGCTTGTAATCTTTTTTTTCGTCAAGCAAGGTGTTATTTTTTCAAGAATCTTATCTTTCTGTAATTTTAATTTTGCTAATTTGTCTGACAATATGCCTTTTTCTCTTCTAATTCAATAAGATGTTGATGTTGTTGCATAAAGCATTCTCTTCCTTTTCTTAAATCTTCATACTGTTGCCGCTTTTCATCCAGTATTGCTTTGAAGTTGTGAATTTGAGCTCTTTTTTGAACCAATTTTGCCTCCATATCATTTACATTCTCAAGTAACGATGGACAACTAAGTTCAGTAACACATTTATCAACTAAAATCTCAACTTCGGAGTCATTACCCTCATTAAAGAGCTCATACATTTTGTAAATATAATCCATTTTGCAGAGCATTTGCTGATTTTGCTGTTCATTTGGTAAATAGCATGTGTTCGCTTCGAATAACTCTTCACATATTAATCTAAACCATGTTAGCAGTGCTAAAGCATGAGGCCACGAATGTCTGGTCATAGGTGCTAGTAAAATAGATTTTGATAATTGACCATTGTATTTGAATAATTTCATCATTTTCATCACTTCATCAATATAATTTGTCGGTGTGATTTTAATTCTATTTGCTGTCAGTAATGATGTGAAATGCTGAAGATAATTAACGAAATGAGAGATGGTTCATTGTCTTAATCCACCATTTGGCATAGTTAAGTCATGTCAACCAAGTATTTTTACAAGCAGTTGTTTGTCATTAATTTTCGATTTCCTTTTGCCTCTGATTTGGACGAATTGTACTTGGTGGCCTAGATTGTGATGGATGACGTACTGGTGTACGACAGGGTGTAGAGCAAAGGCTCAGAGCACTACGACTCCTACGTAATGGAAATGCTGATTGCTGTGGAACTGGAAGCACAGGTACTGCTTTGATTTTTGTGCACGATTTTGGTTCAGTGGACATAGATCGTTTTCTATTTCCATCATTGACGGGTATTTTACTTCTCCTAGTTCACAAAAAATAAAATCAGGGCAATGTAGATACAGGAATTTACTTTTATAAAATACCTTGAATTCCGAGAGGAAAAGCTTTCATCGGTTCTCAGTTCAGACAGGCGTACAGGTATATTTGCCATGGCAGGACTTTCGACTAAATACAGTGCACATAATACAACTAATCACATATGCGAATGTGGACATTCGGTATAAAACATGCAAATGAATTACTTTAATGACAATATTAAGAACACCCGAAAAGATCGTTGAAAAGCGTTGAGCTTCATGACAGTTGCATAGAGATAACTCCCTAACCTAAATAGACAGACACTACACACTACAAAACGTTTCTGCGCTCATACCACACTATTCATACAAATTAGCTAGATGGCGCACAGAATAACGTTACGCGCTGTTACGAATGATAAATGATATATGAAATATCATATTAACATTGTAAAAAATCCAAAATCCAAATGAATTGAAATTGAAATACTTTATATTGACGACATAAAAATATTAAAACATATATAAATCTTTTATTTTTATACATTGTTTAATATAATTGTTTTTATACAATTATTGTTTTTATTCGGCATGTTGAATTTTTAATTATGACTAATGTATATACTTATATACAAAATATAAATAAATTTTGATTTTTAACTTCCCGTAGGGGAAAGGAAGTTATTGTAATGGGCCAAAAATCGGAATTGAAAATTTTTACATTTCTCGACGTTTTGAAGGTTTCTGAACATTTTGGTATACCTCAGAAAAATGGATGTGAGTGTGTGGTGTGTGTATGTATGTATGGATACAAATTTCCAGTCACGTTTTCGGGCGCACGGATCAACCGATTTGAACGTTTCAAAAAACATTCGATTCCCATTCATAGGGAAAAGAGCTGATTAGTTTTTGGCAAAGGCAGGTCCAGCCGTTTCGGAGATACGGAGCAAAAAATGCAGAAAAAAGAAATCGACTTTTTTGAGAGAACGGAGTAGTATCGATTTGAATGATCTAAAAAACATTCAATTAGTAATGATTGGAAGAAGTTTTATTAGTTTTCGGCAAAGGCAGGCCCAGCCATTTCAAAGATACGGAGCTAAATATGTAAAAAATGGCAGTTTTTGAGAGAACTAAGCGTCCGATTTAAATGATTCAAAGAACTTTCTGCTTGTCTAAACAAAATAATTGATTTTGGAAAAAAAAAATTTCCAATTTTTTTTTTTTTTTTTTAATTTTTTGTATATCGAAAATAATTCAGATTTTATTTTTAATTCTGACTATAATTCTAATATACTTTACAAATAATTTCAACTTTGCAATTCAGTTTATACAGTTCTTATAAATATTAGACAATGTTACAATATTATAATAATCTATTTGAAAACATTCAGTATTCCTCGAACATTTTGTTACAGTACGGGAAGTTCCAGCAATTTGTCTTAAGGCACGATGCCATAATTGCCTCAAGACAGAATTCCACTTACAGCTAGTTTGTATTTATTAAAAATCAAAACTACAATTTGATGTTACATGTTAAAGGCTATTGCTTTACATTTCTCTTGTTTTATGTGTCATGTTTCTAGATGGTTCATATACATCTGCGCAAATACCCCGTTTTTTTTTGCGGCGCGAACTAATGGCACCCAGTGTGTTAGACTTGACATGGTAGGCGGTGAATTTATACGATGCTTCCTGACACATAAAACAACGTGATACAACAACCATCGCCGCCCGCTCCATCCCCAATAAAGCCCTTACTGTTTCAAAGAAAAGCTGACCTAGAGCCGTATCAGGGCTAACAGTAATCATGAAATTTAAAGAATTACTTCGATTTTTAAACATAATTTCTTTTCTAAATCATTAATATTACAAACAGTCTTCTAAAAATGTATTAAAATATTTTATTTTGATCGTGAATATATTGAACTCTAACATAGTCTACGACTTTGATATTTGATTTTTTTAACCCTAGAGAGAGTTTTGGATATTGTTTTTGGTAGCAAATCTGATTTGCTAATTTTATGTTTTTTGATATTTGAGTTTTTTAACAATCCTAACCGAAAGTTTTTGTTTTCGCCAGAAAGTGCGATTTGCTAATTTATATGATTGTTATTGTTAAATACTTATTAATTATTTAACTAAAAACTTATAATAAAAAATTAAAAAAAAAACACTTAAAAATTGTGAAACAAAATATTTCTTTCATCAAAATACCTAAAAATTTTTAAAGAAAAATACATAAATTGCTGGAACTTTCCGGACCGTAGAGAAATACTCAAGGAATATTAAATGTTTTCAAATAGATTATTATTAAAATTGTAACATTGTCTAATATTTATAAAAATTATATAAACTAAATTGCAAAGTTGAAATTATTTCTTTAAAGTATATTAGAACTTTTGTCAGAATTAAAATTAAAATCTGAATTATTTTCGATATAGAGAAAAAATTTTTGAAAAAAAAAAATTGAAACAATTTTTTTTTTCAAAAGCAATTATTTTGTTAAAACAAGCAGAAAGTTTTTTGAATCATTCAAATCGCTTAATGCTCTCAAAGGTTTATGTTTTTTGCACATTTAGCTCTATATCTTCAAAATCACCACTTCTCCCCGTCATTACGAATTGAATTTTTTGGATCATTCAAATCGGATACTCCGTTCTCTCAAAAACACGATGAATTGTATTTTCTGCACTCTTTGCTTCGTATCTACGTAACGGCTGGACTTGCCTTCGCCAAAAACTAATCAGCAACATCTCCCATCAATAGAAATCAAATGTTTTTTAACCATTCACATCGGTTGATCCGTGCGCCCGAAAACGTGGATGAAAAAAATGCGGACATAAAAAACACACACACACATTCATTTTTTCTGAGGTATGCCAAAATGTTCAGAAACCAGTACAATTAGTATTGAATAAATTTTGAACGTATTAAATCAGGGTTTTCAACCTTTTTGCACTACTAACCCCCGTTTTGATGAAAAAGTTGTGCTCCTCTTAATGTTTTCAACAATTTAATTTCATAAATACTGACGTTAGACTGCAAATTAATATGCAATATTATGTGAAAAATACATAAAAAAATAATTTTTTTATCATTTTATTTTTTTTATTGATTTTCAAAAAATTATATTTTGGAAACAGCTGTACGCGTCGTTGCAACAGTTTTAAATAAAGATTTAATTAAGAGTTAGGAAAGAACGGTAATAGAAATCAAATATACACATTTTTATTATTGTACTATATGAAAATATCATTGTACGTTTATAGTTTTACAATATATTATCTTATCAACTCACCTCTATCCTCGGGGCATTCTTCCAATTAATTAGATATTTTTGTATTATTCAATACAAGCAACATAAAACTTTCCTTTACTATATAATAAGTATAGTTGGTTCCGACTTTCTTCAATAACATCATCATATTTTCTTGTTCATTCTATGAAATAAAATAAAATAAAATCAAAGTATACCAAAAGTGGCAAATTTTGCAACTAATATGATTTTTATCATAATATATTTTCGGTATTTTACACTGACTATGCTAATGAACCACTATTTAAATTTGATGTAATTTCTAATTTCGACTAATTCAAAAAATAAAAAATAAAACTCTCCAATGCCTCTCTCTATTGATATAGATAGCTATAAAGGATACACATAGATATCTTCGCGTGCAAACAAGACCTTGGACAAGGGTGTGCGTGCGTTATCACATGTATTAGTTGCTTTATGATAATTCTATTTTAGCGGATTCTGAAACATTCGCAGAAACTATAATTCAACTAAGGATTATTTCTAAATCAGTTACTATTTGGAAAAAAGTTCA